GGTGCCCAAACTTTTGTTCTTTCCAAGCTAGATTGTAAGTTCCTTGAGGTAGAGAATGCTAGTTACATGGAAGTTGGTTATAATAGGCTATCATTTGTATTAGAAGGTATTAAATTGCATATTTTTTCTTTTGATAATCAGTTGAGTATTTGTTGCTTAGCAGATGCTAAGTGCTTCGCTTGCATTGCTTCATTTACCACAACAATCCTGTGAAACACAGTGTCATCCTTTATGAGTTTGGAAGTTGAAATTTGGAGACAAGAACACATAGTTAAAATCGTGTGCAAAGCAAGATTTCAACTTCAGTTCTGAAACTAAAACCATTGCTTTATTTTATGTGTATTTCTCTGTGGTTATGTGTTCGTTTTTCACATTTATCAGTAATAAAATCTTGACCTTTCATGATTTGGGATTTTTTGGTTTTGTTTTTACTCAGAGACCCATCTATTTTGGATAGTTTAGATTTGAATGAAGACGAACGCGAAGTACTAATTAATAATATTAATAGGCGTTTGACCCCACAAGCTGTCAAAATTCGAGCAGGTAAATGACTTCGTAAATGACTTTAAATATTATTTAGTTGGTTTTGGTTTGGGCTCTGGGAATCAAGCCAGGCTTTCGCACATGCTGGACAGGTGTTCTACCACGGTCTCATACCTGTAGCCTGAGAAATTATACTGCTACTATAAAATGTATGTATTGACAAAAATGAAAATAGGTAAGTTCAACTAACATTAATTTTGCCCTTTAACAAAAAGAATTTATATTTTGTTTTACTATATGGTTCCAAATATTTCAATAGGACATGGGTATCTTTCAGTGTCTCATTTGACCACTTGTTAATCACTTGAAATATTTTCCTTCAGACATTTTTCCTGTACACATAATATACAAGAATATATGTCTGAGGGCTGGAATTGTAGTTCAGTAGTAAACTGCATTCTTAACGTTTATGAGGCCCTGGATTCAATCTCTGGTACCCTCCCCAAATAAAAAATGTCTAAATGCTAATATGAACCAGTCTCCTTGAGGAACACTTAAATTTTGCCAATTTTTTCACAATTTAAAAAAATATATACTTAAACAAGTGTTCTTCAAGATAAACTCCTAAAAGAATTGCTGGGTCAAGGCCAACTAGTGAATAAAAGTGCTTATCTCCCAGCCTAGCAGCCTGAATTCAGTCCCCAGGACCCACATGGAGGAAGGAGAGAAGTGACTCCCCAAAGTTATCCTCTGCCTGACCTCCAAGTGCACCACTTGGGCACCACACACACTAAATAAATGTAATAAAGAAAAAGAATTGCTGAATCAAAGGGTATGCAATTGCTAAATAAGTCTAGACAACTTGCTATCAAGATGTTTGATGAATTTGTCTTTTGTAATTTTTAAATCTATTCTTAATTGTAAAAATAGCTGATGCTTTTAATACTTAATTACTTCTTAACTATTCCTGGTCAGCTTTTGAATTTTTATAATTTAGATATTGAAGTAGCTTGCTATGGATATGAAGGCATTGATGCTGTAAAAGAAGCCCTGAGAGCAGGTTTGAATTGTTCCACGGAGACCATGCCCATCAAGGTGAGTCCTCAGTTTTCCCTATCCTGCAGAACAGAACCTTAGGTGGGTGGGTTTGTGTGCTGGCGATTGAACCCGGAACCACTGACCTATATTCCTAGTCTCCCCCACCCCAGTCATGTTGGATAGGAAATTATAGTTAAGTAGTATACTGGTAAAGTGCTTGCCTAGCATGTTCAGAGGCCAGGGTTTGATCCCCTGCACCTAAAAATTTTAGTTTTTAAGACTTGTGTTTTTTGTTAGCAATAAAATAAACAGGATGGTTATTATTCAGAATTTAAATTTTTTTTTTCTTATCAATTTAGAGATAGTTCTGATAACAACTATAGTTTGTAGTTTGGCCACAGATAAAAAGCCCAGCGATCAGAAAATTTCATATTCTGTATTGCAGTGGACTATGTGTTTGTACTAGATTAGATCATTGTATCAATTAGCTGTTGCTATATGTGATGGTTGGCATTAATTGTCAGCTTAACAGAAGGTTAGAATTTGCCTTGGAAATGGGCCTCTGGCCATGTCTGGAGGAGTGTCTTGATTTTGTTAATTGAGATGGGAAGACCCGCCCATGCAGGTTGCACCATTCCTACTGTAATGGAGAGGGGGACTGAACAGAGGCATGCATGTGTTCATTCCTCTCTTCTGGCTGTGGGTATAATGTGATAAGCTGCTTCGGGCTCCTGCTGCCTTTCCTTCCCTACCCTGATGGGCCGTGCCTTGAACTATGAGCTAAAATGACCCTGTTCTCCCCTAAATTGCTTTTGTTAGAGTGTGTTAGCACAGCAGTGAAAAAAGAAACTAGGACATTGCATTAACAAATAGTGCAAAATTTCTGACCTACAGAATTGGGAGGCGAGTTGAGGTGATTCATTAAGGCTTAGTGAAGCAGTTCTTGAGCATCCTAGCTGGGTATATCATAGCTTCATTTCTGTTTTCCTCCTTTAGATTAATCTAATAGCTCCTCCAAGGTATGTGATGACAACAACAACCCTGGAGAGAACAGAAGGGCTTTCTGTCCTCAATCAGGCTATGGCTGTCATCAAAGAAAAGATTGAGGAGAAGAGGGGCGTGTTCAACGTTCAGATGGAGGTGAGATCATTGCCTTCAGTTTTACTTCTTTTTGTAAAATTATTTTTATTTTATGTGTATTGAGTGTATTGCCTGCATGTAGATAGGTGCATCCTTGTCGTGCAGTGCCGGAGGAGGACAGAAGAGGGCGTCAGAGCCCCTGGAACTGAAGTTACAGATGGTTGTTAGCCACCATGTAGGTGCTGGGACTTGAACCCCAGTCCTCTGCAGGAACAATCAGTTCTCTTAACTGCTGAGCCATTTCTCCAGCCCCTTACTTTCTTAATGCTTTTGTTTTGTTTTTGAGACAGGATCCAATGTAGTCCATGGTGCCTCCAATTCACTGGGTAGCTGAGGCTGGCCTTGAACTCCCTAACCACTGCCTTGTTACTCTGTCTGTGCGTGTGTGTATCTGTGTGCCTATGTGTAAGTAAACACACATATGTGCTTATGGGTGCACTGTGCATATATTTGAAGGCCAGAGGTCAGTGTTGAGTATCTTCTTCTCTCATTCTCCAACTTATTTTTTGAGGCATTGTCCTTCAGTAAACCTGGAGCTTACTTCTTCAGCCAGACTGCTGACCAGCAAGCCACCATGCCCAGCTTTTTATGTAGGTTCTAGGGATTTTAACTCAGGTTCTTTGTGCTTGTGCAGAAAGTGCTTCACCCACTGAGCCATCTCCCTAGACCCTCAAGTGCCACTTAAAGCATCAGATATGGACACCAGGCTTTGTGATAATGCACCTTTAGTCCCGACCCACAGGGAGCAGAGGTGGGTGGATTTCTTCTGTGAGATTGAGGCCACCCTGGTTTACATCGTGATTTCCAGTGGGCTGTGACTAGGGAGACCCTGTCAAATAATCAACAGAAAAAAAAAAAAATCAGATATAAGTCCAGCAAGATAATGACTTGAGTTCAGTCCCTAGGATGTATGTGGTAAAAGGACATAATCAGCTCCCACAAGTTGTCCTGACCTCCATAAGCATATCATAACATGCATGCCCCCTCCCCAATACACAAGTGTAATTAAAACGGATGAAAGTAGGTGTGGTGGCATACACCATTGATCCCAGTACCTGGGAGACAGGCAGCAGGATCGCTGTAAGATGAGGCAAACCCTGGCTGCATAGTGAGTTCCAGGCCACTGGGACTATAGGAAAACCCTATCTCAGAAACCAAACAAAAAAAGAAAATCAGATGAGAGTTGGCTCTAGTGTCATATACCTGTTTATCTCAGTACTTGGAAGCTTGGAAAGCTGACACAGGATGTGTGCCATGAATTCAAGGCCAGCCTGGGCTCCAGAGTAAGACCTTGTCTCAAAAAGCCCCTCCTCCCACCCAAGTCAGATATATTTAGGATTTAAAAATGACTAAGTAAAAAGTAATCATTGATTCTGAGGATTCCTAAAAGGATGTTTGTTTTGTTTTATTTTGGTTTGAGATAGGATCTCAGTGTATAGTCCTGACTGGCCTTGAATTTACAGAGATCTGCCTGCCTCTGCCTCCTCAGTGCTGGGATTAAAGGTATGTGCCACCACAACCAGCCTAAAGAGGGTAAGTAGAGCTGACAGGATATCTCAGTGAGTAAAAGTGCCTTCTGTCAACCCTTACAACTTGAGTTTGATGCCCAGGACCTACATGGTAGGAAAGAACTATTTCCTACAAATTGTCCTCTGACCTCCACTTGCATGCCATGATGCATGCATGTGTGCGTGTGCACACACGCACACACACAATTAAATGGAATAATTTTTAAAAAATTTTTTGTTGGTGAGTATATTGTCTGCGTGTGTGTAAGTGCATTCATGTCATGCAGTGTCCGAGGAGGTTAGAAGAGGGTGTTGGATCCCCTGGACCTGGAGTTAAGAATGGTTGTTAGCTGCCATGTGGGTGCTGGGAGTCAAACCTGGATCCTCTGCAAGAGCAGTCAGGGCTCTTAACAGTTGAGCTGTCTCTATTGTCCCTGGAATAAAATATTTTTTTAGATGATAAAGAATAATCTATCTTGGGGCTGGAGAGATGGCTCAGCGGTTAAGAACACTAGTTGTTCTTGCAGAAGACCCGTGAATCCCAGCACCAATATGGCAACTAACAACTGTTAGCAGGGGATCCAACAGCCTCTTCTGACCTCTGCCGGGCACTGCACGGCATGGATGCACTTACCTACATGCAGGCAATACATGCATACACATAAAATAACAAAAAATAAATTAAAAAATAAAGAATAATCTATCTTTCCCTCATCTCAGCACAAATAGAACCTAATTTCCATATATGTTGCCATGTATGTCTGTTTAATGATTCATTCTCTAAAGAAGAATGATAATTTATTTTGAGTCCAGAAGATTCAGTTTTGTTTTTTTAATATGAAACACTTCACGAATCTGTTTGTCATCCTTGCACAGGGGCCATGCTAATCTCTGTATCGTTCCAAGTTTAGTATATTTGCTGCCGAAGCTAGCACAAGATTCAGTTTTTTAAAAACATGGTATTTGTGATCTTAACAGTTATGATCGTATGTATTTTCAGTTTTAGCGTATAAAAGGCAGAAAATATTGTTTATTTTAATACAGATTTTGCTTGCACCTCTATTTTTTTGCTAATAGAATTTATTAGTGCTAGCGGGCATGGTGGCACACATCTTTAAGCAAAGGCAGGCGGATCGCTGAGTTCAAGGCCAGCCTGGTCTATATAGTGAGTTCCAGGACAGCTGAGGGTACAGAGACCCTGTCTCAAAAAGATTTTTTTAAAAAAAGAATTTATTAGTGCTAAGTCAGCACAGGTATGACAGAATTACTAGAAATGAAAAGAATCTCCTCAAAAGTTAAAATACTAGCCAGTAATAGTATTAAAATAGAATGTTATGCTATTTCCTTCACTTTGGAATTATGCCTCTTCCACAGCCCAAAGTGGTCACAGATACAGATGAGACTGAACTTGCAAGACAGCTGGAAAGGCTTGAAAGAGAAAATGCAGAAGTGGATGGCGATGATGATGCAGAAGAAATGGAAGCCAAAGCTGAAGATTAACTTTATGGGAAACAGTCCAATTTAAGGAATACGAAGCAGCCTTTCCTGGCTGTAAACCCTTAGACTTGAAAGTTTTCCAGTATTGAAAACTTCAAAGCTGAATCTTTTTTATTTCCAAGTATTTAAGTATTCAACAAACCAGAACCTGAGACGCCCTCCTTGCTGTCAGCCATTTTCGCATAGTAGCTCTAACACAACACACTTTTTTTAAGGGAGTGGCTTGATTTGACTAGAGACAAATCTTTAAGAACAGTCCTAAAATTGGGCTTGCCATGTCCATTTCTGATGTCTCTGGATCAGCACCCTTGGGTGTTCAGTGCCTCCGTGAGATTTGCCAGGGGTACCCAACACAATCCCAATCTTTCTATATACAATGTATTCAAACAAGCATCAAATAAATTTCTGGGATATTTAAATATAGGCCTCTTCCTTCTTGTCACCAGTTAAAAACCATTCTGAATTCTTGGACCTTAATTATATTCTAGAAGTATAAGGGTAAGTGAGCTGTATAGTAACAGAACCTTTCAGGAGGAGGGTTTAGAGAAGTAATTTTAAGTGTAGCCATAGTGGAATTGACCCTTGATGGAGAAAAGTTTTGACATGCAGTTAGAATTACATTGTTATGTACTTGTAACCTGTTTGAGACTGATGACAACTTGGGGCATGAGAGACTTCATCACATGTGGACCTTGTTAAAAGCTACACTTCTTGCCTTGAGTTTAGTGTTAAAGATTTTCTTTAAGTGCTGCTCCTTTGAAATTATTTTGAACAGCATCACTTATCTTCTGGGGGGGGGGCATTTTTTCCCTTTATTTGCTAAGTGCTACCTAGATCTTCAGTTTGTTTTTGATTTTTTAAATAACAAAGCAGGGGTCTTATTAAACATGGAAAATTTTTTTAGTGTTCCTAACATAACATAAACTAGCTACTTAAAGAGGTTTATGTGCAAAGTAAATTTCACAGGTCAACATTTAAAATTACAGCTGTAGTAGTCAGGTGTGGGAAACCTTCAGTTACTTTCGCATGCTTACCTTAGGATACTTTAAGGTACTGTTTAATTTTATTGTCTGTAGGCAAACTTAAACTTAGTCTACCCTAGTCAGTCCAAAACTAGGCTAAATATTAAAGGTTCTAGAGTTGAGTAAAATAGTATATTCCTATAGTCACAGCCCAGAATTTAGAGGTCAGCCTGGGTGGCCATGGCAACACCCTGTGACAACTAAAAGGACTGGAAATTAGAAGAGTGTTGGAGAGATAGTTTGTGCCATTTATGAAAGTCTAACTTCTCAGTCTGCTACCTTTTTACTCTAAAGGTAGGTCTAAGCTCAGATGACCCATTTCCAAGAAGGAGCCGTGCTTGACAGCCTACCACATTGGGATTATTTGAGTCTCTGAATGTAGTCCAGATTGGCACACAATTTTCACTTCTGTCTAAAACATAAAGGACCAGGTATAGTGTGTGCATGTCTTTAATCTCAGCACACAAGAGGCAAAGACAGGTGGATCTCTGAATTCTAGGCAAGCCAAGACAAGACCCTGTCTCCAAGTTAATAAAACACAGCATGCTGTGATGTTACCATATTAACAGTATGGTAGCACACAGCTGTAATCCCAGCTATTAGGCAGGAGGTAAAGGCCACCCCTGGGCAACTCTGGCCCAAAGAGTTGGGATGTAGCTAAGTGGTCAAGTACATGCCTTGCATCTCAAGGCCTCATGTTCAATCCCCAATACCACAAGAAAAAGTACATTATCAAATGTAACAGGTGCCCTTTTCCTGGGATTTTTTTTCTATTTACTGGAAACTTTTATACTTGAAAAACCATAACTTTATAAATACTTGGGGCCTCTATGATGAGTTTTCTCCAGAATAGCCCTGTTTTGTTTTGTTTTGTGTGCTAGGTTCCAGTGTTGTACATTGATGGCCCTAACCAGAGAGAGATCAGTACTTCACTGATGCTATGGTGAAAAGAAACAAGAGCATAAGCCTTGCTGACCTAAAAGTAGGACAAGATACATGAAGTCCAGAATACACAGGATACATAGAATTGACAAAGAATGGAAAAACTTAACCAATTAAAAATGCTGACAGTCTTGTGTTTTCCCTTCTCTGCCTTTGATTACAGTCATAATCTATTAACCCATACAACAGAATTAGTAGGAGTTTGAGTCTCATGCATTAGTTTATTGAAACTGACTAAAAGGAAATACAAACATTGAAACCAATTTTACATCAGTTTTAAGAGGCAAACATACCAGTTATCATGAATAAGTTTCAGGTACTTAATGGAAGCTGCAGGGACCAATTTATGCATCACACTAAGCACAAGTTGCATACACCAACCATTCATGGTCTAGTTATTTTTACATCAACAATTAAAATGGTTAGGAATCAAAAAAGTTCTAGTACCTTACCAGCCTGACTGGTTTACCTCAAGCTGATGATTATCTAAAACCATTGGGAATCCTTGTCTTGCCCAAAACTAAGGGAGCACAGCTGTCAATTTGGAAGCAGTAAGCTATCAACCCAAATGTAGTTTTAATTCAGATAAGCACCTGTCAATATTCTAAAAGTAATTCCAGGTACATTAGACCTTGGTAAAATGCCAAATGAAACATGGTGCTTTAAAAGGCATTCTCTTACAATGTAAGGAATAGAATACAGGGAAAAAATTGTCTGGATTCCTGGCCATTTAGGGTCAGGTATTCCAGACATAAAGGTCTATTTTAAAAAGATGAGTTTTTACTTAAGCACTTTAGAAATATCCACTCCCCGTAAATGTAAGTTATGTATTTTATTAAAGTCCAAGCCCTTGTACTTGGCAAGAATGCGGGCAATAGTTTGTGCCAGATCACTATGTAAATTTTAAATAAAAATGTTTGTAAAAACATACATTGTATGATACAGACTTTTCACTACTTTAAATCAGCCTCCCAACTGTGGAAATTATTTGACATTTATTTCAGTTTGGTTTTGTTGTTGTTTTTGTTTTGGTCTTTTTGAGACAAGGTCTCCCTGTAGCCTCAGCTGACCTGGTACTCGCTATGAAGACAAGGCTGGCCCCAATCTCACAGAGATCTGCCTGCCTCAGCCTCCCAAGTGCTGGGATTAAAGGTGTGCACCACTATACCTGGCCAGTTTGTTTTTAAGCCAAAGTTTCATGCCTTAAGTTTTCCCATTTATATCTTTGTCTTTTAGAGAGCTCCTGCACCACATCTCATCTGTGACATTTCTCCAAGTGAGTCCATGGCTTGTGCAACTTGTTACTTATGCACTTATTTTGCAAAACAAAACAATATCCTCTGAACAGTCTGCCAAAGTCTTGCCAGCATTCCCCCTTAAAGGTGAAGTGTGTCCTTTTAGTGACAGAGATTGCTTGAGATTTTTCCATAATTAACTTTCATAATACGTAGATAGGGAACCTTCAGAAACCATAAAACTTTGTACAGTAACTATAATGGTTCGGGTTGGAGAAATAGCTCAGCAGTTTAGAGCACCGGCTGTTCTTCCAAAGGACCTGTATTCATTTCCAGCACCCACATGGCAGCCCACACCTATCCTTAACTCCAGTTCCAGGGGATCCAACACCCTCTTCTGGCCTCCTCGGGCACCAGGCACACAGGAGGCACATTTACACATGTGGCAGGCAAACACTAACACAGAAAATAAGAATATATACAAACTTTTAAAAATAACATCCAGAAACAATGTCAATTTTTATTAATTCCATAGGAGATACAAATTGTTGACATCACTTAAGAGTGCTGCCTTGAGACTAGAGTATTTCATGAAGCAAGGCTAGTGTTAGTGTTCCAACAAAGATATACTACTGTGGTCCCCAAAGACATAGACATCTGTCCTGGAGAGCAAAAGTCCAGATGCTGCTGCCTAGCTTTTCTGGCTTTTCGGGTTGATGATAGGAAGAAAATAGCACCACTGCTGTTTGTCATCTGAGGAAACAGCTCTTCAGCCATCCCACTCCAAAGCTATGCAAGATGTATGGTGTTAAGTCTTTCTTTTTGTACGGTGCCAGAAATTGAACCCAGGGCCTCAGGTCTGCCAGGCAGTCCTCTCCCACTGAGCCCTATCCCCAGCCCAATGTCTTAGACTCCAGTTCTCTGGGAAGCCCTAGCTGTATCATGATACAGGGAGGAGTCCTGGTCCTCCTCCCTCAAAGTCATGTTAGCTTCTTAATAGCTTCAATCCACTCTGCTCGTTCAGACTTGCTGCTGGCCTGGATGTAATAGTGTGTGTCATCCTTAGTAATCACTTTAAAAAGATTTCCTTGGACATTCCCTTTAACCCCTACACAGGGAAAAAAGAAAAAAGAAAAGTGATTGAATGTCCATGTTAACTTTCAGCTTGAACCTGCTGAACATCAACTAAGACAAAAACACTGCAGTATTTCTCCCCACTCCTTCCCAAGTTCCTCAGTCCTGCCAGTGGCTATCCTGGGATTTCTTGGAAGTTTTCTTGCTTGCCACTGTGCCAGCCATAGACCTACAGTTCCATTCACATCAAAGAATTAATGTTTATGTTAAAAACACAGAAATTGATGTTTGCTTTGAATTGACTTAGAACCTCAATTTCCACATGCACAAGATGGGAATGATTACCTTCCTATCACAGCCGATACTGTAAAATTAGTATGAAAACTGATAATGAAAGCAGGTGAATGTTTATGGGCCATCAGCACAGAAATTAAGGGAAAGTATTAAAAATAAGGATTACTCAGTTGTATTCCTAAAACATTAAGAACGTCTCATGGATCCTTTCCTTGTTTTCTGAAAAGGGCTTCAAAACTCACACCATTGTCTCAATGAGGGAACTCTTTGTCTCAACAAGGAAAGCCCTGCTTGACTTCCAAAGTTCAGTCTTTCCTCCCAGGGGTATTAATAATATGCAGATGAGCGGCCCCGAGATCCAGACCCGAAGCTGCATCTTACCAGTAGGAACACCATTATCCTCCAGAGCAGACACAAGGGAACCTCGAAGAGAAAACCCACCTACTGGTCTGTTCTCTTCCTATGGGGGAAAGGAGACCTAATTAGGAGTTTTGTGAATGCACAAAGAGAAGAGACACCCTCTCCTATAACCATCCTGTCAGGCCTACTAAAGAAGTCACTTCAAGTTATTTGTTACAGAAGATAAGGTAAGACTTGGGCATCATTTGGCCAAGTAACATACCAGTGAGTAAGTCTGGGCCTCTAGTTTCACAACCAGTAGCGACAGTGCCATCCAGCATCCTGCCAAAAGCATGCACTGGCTTCCTTAATATTCATACACATTGTGCACTGTTACGCAAATCTCTGGTTATGTGTTTGTCATGAAACAACTGGTTTACGGTATCTCTGGATGATTCAGAGCAATTTTCTACACTGGGAGCCTCAGCCTTTGCCCCTTCAATTAATAATCAACTTCATACTTAGTGGTGGCCCCAGCAAGAGGCAGGACAAAAAATAAAGCTGTTAAATAATGATGCCAGAGGTGTTGACGTTTAGATACTAAAGGATGGAAATTCAAAGGAAGAAGAAACACAAACCTGGAGGGAGTCTAAGCAGTCTTGGCGGAAGTGGCATGGGGGGGGGACTGAATTTGCTTTGAGAAGCAAGCCCTGGGTGCTGGGGTGAACAGTCAGCCCAGTAGTAGGAAAGTTGAAGGCAAAGCTCAGGAGCAAATTAATAGCAAAAGGCCCTGGATTCACCAAGAGCACAGAGTAGATAGAGCTAGATGAAGAGTTAAATGCAAAGCAAGCTCTTAGTCGTTATTTTCCTTGCTTCAAAAGGATCCGAGTAGCTCAGTTGTTAGAGCGCTTGTCTAGCATACACAAAGCTGTAGGTTCAATCCCCTAGCACCACATAAACTGGGGGTTGTGGCACATGCCTATAACCCTAGCATTCAGGAGGTGGGACAGGAGAGACAGGAGGATCAGAAGTTCAAGATCATCCTTGACTACATGATGAGTTTGAGACCAGCCCAAGCAACATGAGATACTGTCTCAAAACATAAAATAAGATTTGGGATCATCATGGTAGCTATACCATAATCCATAGAGAAGTCAGCGCATGCTTTTGGAGACCCAAAGGTTTCATCTTTCGGTCAGCTCTCCCCAGGCCTTGGCCTTCCTTTTACCTGGCAGGGTATCGGGTTCATTCATGAGCTCTTAGGTTGGACTAGGAGCTCCTACCTGGAAACATGTACCAAGACAAGGCTAGGAGGTCCTAACTGGAAACACATCAAGACAGGGCTCAACATTCCAACTAAAGAGCCATTTTCCTTCTCTTTTGATTAGAATTAGATTAACTCAGCATAAGGTGGCACTTATCTGAAACCCAGGACAGCAATTCCTGGCTCAATTAAAAAGTAAGTAACTCATAAGTAAATTAAATAAATTGCATAATTAAAAACAACTTCGAACAGGTAAAAGGAAGTTGAGGGCAACAGAATTCATGGGCCCTTTGGATGAAAAGGGGAAGAGGCTGGAAGTACATTTAGGAATCTCAGGCATACCCCTCACTCTTTGCCCACAAAGCAGGCTTTGAGAATAGTAAAATAATGACAATCCTCTCCCATAGGAAATGGGCATGGAAGAATCCATTCACTGAGCAGGCACCCATGTGAAAGAGCAGCATAGCCTACAAGGAGCCGTGGCAGAGATGTGCAGCAGGAGGCCCAGTGGCTGCCTGCCTGCTCCACAGAGGGAGTCAGGAAGCAGACAGCCCTGAGAGAGGGTGGGAATGGTCTCACTCACTTTGGAAGGGTCATAGTAATGCAGGAAAGCTGGGTCCTTCCTCAGAACAAAGCGACGTACCTTCCAGTTTTTCCTCTTGTGTCCCTGTGGGAAAGAAAGGACTCAGGGCTCATTGGTGACAGCTCTACACTCCCTTCCCATTCCCAAGCTTCTGTCTCACTGCAAGGCAAAACCTCCAATAAGCCAGCCTGCTCCAGGGGGATAGCATTCTGACAACAGTCTGCCAGAAATCCAAGAATTGCAATGACATGATCCTTGTTCAGTGACACCTTTGCAAAAACACCTGGCACACATATGACAGAGCTAAGGAGAGATAGCACTGAAAAAAAGGAGATACATTACCCTGACACTCAAAGCATAAAGAAGGACTACGAGGCTGGGGCTGTAGCTCAGTAGTACAGTGCTTGCCAAACAAGCACAAGGTCCTGAATTCAGTCTCCAGCACTGAAGAGAAAAAGGAGGAGGAAGAACAAGAGGGAGGAGGAGGGGAGGAGAGGAGGAGGAGGAGGAGGAGGAAGAGGAGGAGGAGGA